CTGGTAATACTAATGAGGTTCTGTGATATGCTGGCAGCTATAGTTTGTTTTTATTCCAAAGGGATTTGGCTCTAAGTTAATTATTGAGGCTGTCTGGTGAGTTTTGCAAATTAGGCATCTGGCCAATTTTTTTTACCTCTCAAAAATTCAATTTCAAAATATGCTAGGAAATTTCATAGAAATGGACATTGGACAATGGTTGCTTTAGAAATGAGCATACTATGATGATGTCAGTTGTGGCAGCTGGCACACAATATCTGTATGATGGCATGAATTGCCAACAAATTCTAGGAAAACTTCATTTTTCTGTGTTACCTTTGTTAGAATCGAGTAAGCAGTTCTGTCCGTGGTAGTTACATTACAATGCTGTGCAAGTTTTACAGCATTACATCACTAGTATCTAATTCCAAAAGGCTTATAGGGAATTTATCGGGAATCAGCAGACTGCTTATTAAATAAACAGTGAATGAATATCTCACTCAGTACAACAAAGTGAACAATCTTTTTAAAATGTGCTCTTAAAATCACATCACTAGTTAAAGGAAATATACCACTTTCATCCAAGTATTTCTTTCTACAGTTTTATGATTATGCTTTAAGTGAAAAAATAAAATGTACAAAAAATGTTTAAGTATTTTCATATAAGAAGAACTATATTATACCTTTGGTAGAAGCTTAATTCCCACTCCTTGTTTAAAAAAAAACATTTATTGTTTAATCCTTGCCCAAATGCTTAACATTGACATCCTGATCCCTGAATGTGCAATTTGGAGTGCCTAGCTGCTGTTTGCACCATTTTTTCCTAAACATTTTCTACCATTTAAAATGGAATTTTGAAGACCTCTCTGTCATCTGTGTACCTAACCAATGTTGAAATGATTTATGATGACCTTTCGTGCATCGCTATGAACTATGAAGTCACTTTACACGTCACTTTTATCTCGTCGCCAAGGTGAAAACGCCCGCCTATGAGGTAGGATCGGACAACGACCCGGGCGCCGGTTAATGGCCCCGTATTGAGCTTACAGTCTTGGAGATTACTTGTACTGTCAGCAACTCAATGTGATGTAAATTTCCCTACGCCTCCTGCACGGTTGTTTACAGGTAGGACGGAACAATGAGCAGCTCCGAGGAGGTATCGTGGATCTCGTGGTTCTGCGGCCTGCGCGGCAATGAGTTCTTCTGCGAGGTGGACGAAGACTACATCCAGGACAAGTTCAACCTGACTGGCCTCAACGAGCAGGTGCCGCACTACAGGCAGGCGCTCGACATGATCCTCGACCTGGAGCCCGGTGAGTGGGCCGCCGCCGGTGGTAGTACGACCGAGGCCGCCGCCGCCGGGGGTGCTGTCTAGATGGTGGCAGAGTGACTGTCGTAGCTCCAGGCACTAGTGCTAAACTCTGCCGGTTTTTTCATGTACTGACCTAACAGTCCTATAACGTAAAGTTGACATCAATATTTTTTCACTAATGGCATGAAATGACCCCCTTTCATCCACTAGAAATATTTGTGACAACAATGATTCATTACCCAAATTGTACAAACGCATTTGAGCCCGACGCTGCGGCCCCTTCCCCTCCGGCCCCTGACGCTTTTACCCTGACGCCTTTACCCTGCGCCGACAGACGATGAACTGGAGGAGAACCCGAACCAGTCGGACCTCATTGAGCAGGCCGCAGAGATGCTCTACGGCCTGATCCACGCGCGCTACATCCTCACCAACCGCGGCATCGCCCAGATGATTGAGAAGTACCAGTCGGGAGAGTTTGGCTACTGCCCGCGCGTGTACTGCGAGAACCACCCCATGCTGCCCATTGGTGAGTATTATTGTCCAGAGAACTGTTGGTGAGTAGATTACTACTCAAAGAAGCACCCCTATTGTCAGTTGTCCATTGTTCAGTGCGGGCCAGGAACGAAGCTGACCGTGGAGAGCTCTGTTTTCAATTACGGTTGAACGCCTGTGTGATCTAGTGCCGTTGCTGCTCGCACCACCGATGCTGCTGGTGCCGCCGCCAACTGACTATTAGCTCCTGCTATGTGTTTTAAGCATGCAGACTTTCGTCTGCCTCACACCTTGATTGGATGGGCGCAAAATGACCTCGCAGTCGGCGCGCCCCCAATCCCCAACAAACAAAACACCTTGATTGGCCGGTTGTTTTCTGCTCTGACGCTGTCGCAGCGTGTTTTCTTATTTGACGCCGCTGGGTGTTTCCTTGTGGTCTGACGCTGCAGCTGCGTGTTTAATGCTCTGACGCCTTTACTCGTTGGCCAGGTCTGTCTGACGTGCCCGGCGAGGCGATGGTGAAGCTCTACTGCCCCAAGTGCATGGACGTCTACACGCCCAAGTCGTCCCGGCACCACCACATCGACGGCGCCTACTTCGGCACCGGTTTCCCTCACATGCTGTTCATGGTCCACCCCGAGTACCGGCCCAAGAAGCCCACCAACCAGTTTGTGCCCAGGTGAGTCGGCCGTCAGGCCACAGTCGGGTCGCCGGTGATAGGTGTCATGTCGCCGGCGCCAGGTCGCGGGTCGCTGGTGAGGTCTCGGGTCGCCGGCGCCAGGCCTCAGGTTGCTGGCGATGTGTCAGTCGGATCGCTGGCGCCAGGCCTCAGTGGCCCAGTCAGGTCGCCGACGTTAGGTCTAAAATATCTGGCGCCAGGCGCAATTGTTCGTTGGAAGCGGATAACTATTGCCTGCTGAGCTGAGTGGGATTACAAAGACGGGATTATACATATAGACACACGAAAATACAAGAGCCATGAATGACAGTATTGATTGCCATTGTGGCTGCTATCTAAACATTATGTTGAGGCAGTGGTTTACGAAGATAAACGAAGCGTTTCTTGTGTTTCCGCAGCAGACTTGACATGCATCGTTTTTGTCGTGCTATCAGTTTATAGAGGTGAATTCCGTCGCCCGGTGGTATCAGGCTCGGTAGGCGCGATAGTGGGACGTTTTAGGTGCCTGGGAGTCAGATATTGCCAGGCGGGTGGTGACGCTACACATGGCGCTATCAATGGGAAACCAGGCTGGGAAAACTGCAGTTCTGGGATAATTTATCAATGTGGCAGCGGCGTCTACAATCAGTTACATTTCTTAAATACTGCTTGGTTAAACTACCTTAAGCTGGTATGGAGCTTAATAAGCGACTGCTGACTATCTTTAGTTTCGCCCGGCTCTAGTCCTATTCGTTCAGCGTTATTCCCTGTGTGTTATCCCCTGTGTGTCAAACGGCCCTCTGCCCATTGTCTGGCGTCTCGCCTCGCCTCGTTTCTACCCGGGATGGCCAGACCCGTGCCGTGCTTCCGGCCGCCACTGCCGTGAGGACACGGGCTGGCCACGGACCGTTTTTCCTGCCGGCTGGCCGCTCACACGATGGCCAAATATGGACGTGCACCGGTTTAATAGCTTCTTAACGGGCGATGAAGGCCGGTTTGGCGGCTGTTTTCCTCAATGATCGCTGATTTGACACCTAGTTAACTGCTAGGCTATTTGGGCGGATTGTTGAATGGTTGAGTGCACCTACCTGAAACGTTTTTTTTTTTAGATTGTTGACCGTCGAAACATCGTGTTTTATATGGTAAGTTGTGATTCGTGTGGGTGTCACACTGTAAGACTGACCTCATTGGTATTTGTTTCTTCGACAGGCTCTATGGGTTCAAGATTCATCCCATGGCTTACATTATCCAGCAGCAGGCGGCCTGTAACTACAAGGCCCCGCTACGCGCCATCAACTACAACGGCAAGCGACCATAGAGCGGCGTGCCCTGCCTCTTTCCGCGGCCGGCAGACGGTTTGCCGCCGCATCCGCTCCACCCGGTGAGTCGCCCGCCGCCCGCCACCGACTCAGAACCGGCTAGAAAGACTGGGAACACAGCTGTATCACGGGGCAATCAGCGTGCCACGCGGCAACCGCGTCAGTGGCGCCAACTGACGGCATTTTCTGTAAGTAGCAGTGCGCGCGCCGTCCGCCGCGTGGCGCTGCTGGTCGGGAGGTGCGGCTGGGTGGGCGGGTGGTGGGGTTTCTAGGCTGGTGAGCTGGTGGTGGATGTTTGAGTGTGTGTCGAGGGCGTGCAGCCCTGCTAGGAGGTGGATGAGATGAACCTTAGCTCTGGGCGGGCACTGTAGGACGTCAGGTTCCATTAAGCCGAATCGCATATCGTTCAATGACAGAAGCTTCTCGGCTGGAGCAAGATGTCTATTCCACACCGTTCAGATATCGATTCCCGTAGTTAGTAAATCGTCTTTCGAACTGATCCAACTTCTAACCACTCTGATTGATATGACCCGGCTACAAATCAGCAGCGGCTGAATTCTACCCCGCCTCTGCGGTTCGTTTAGTGTATAATGTTTTGGAGGGGACCCAGGTATGCTTGGCTGCTGTTCCGTTTACGCTGAGAGGGCGGTTATCCGAACGCTGTTGGGCCTGCTGTGTACTTCCGGCGCGCGCGATGTAGGTGCGTCCTTGTGTCGTGTCGGGCCCGTCTCGGGTTCACGGGCCCCGGCCGGGTGCCTGGCTCGCTCGGCGCGTGGCGAACAATGTGTTACGGCTGTTTGTGTGCGTGTGTGCGGGGATGTAAGCGCGCCAGTGCGTCTGTAGCGTGTGAGTGGGTGTGTGTACATGACCTCAGAGCTGATGTGTGCCCTCGTTTCTGATCTGCTGTTCCGTTTTGTCCGGTGTCTATTCTAACAGTTGCTGATTAAGTTTGAGAAATTGAATGATGTAGTAGAGTATGATTAAAATTCAATAATGTTCCATTAATATTCAATCAGTATTTCAGTTACTGATCAATATGTTTCTTCAGATGTTGATACTTCAGCAGTGTCACGGGCGATTCGAGCACGATGATAACTGCCAACCCCGTGCTAGGTCTCGCATGTAACAAAGCGGTACCGACCGTGTCTCTCTCCCAGTCGAAATTAATGATATTGTGACTGCGCCCGCGTTACTCTTCGCGCCAAACACGTTCCCAACTGCGCGCCAATAAAACGACTCGTGATCAAACCGTGTTTCGCTATTCTCTAGCACACCCAAAAAAGTGACCGCGTACGAAACGATATTCACCCCTCACACGCTAAATAAATAAAAACCTTTCGGCTTGCGACACGTGATTGCATGATGTATAATTCACCCTGCGCGCGTCGCGGGTGGTCGCCAAGTCACGGCGGCCTCGGCGACCTCGGCGACCTTCCGGCGACCTCGATGACCTCGGCGAGGCGCGCTGTGACGGCGGCGGCACAGGTGGCGCCCGTCCCTGCCCCTCCGCCGACCGGCGCGGCTCGGCGGGGGAGGACTTAGGCAGATGGCACCGGCACTGAGGGTCACACAGGCGTAGCAATGTGTTACGCTGCGCAGTGCACACAGACGCGATGATGTGATACTTTGCTCTATATACGACACAGCACAGTGCTGATACGCTGTTTCCAGACACGACACAGCGCTGACAACGATTTAGTCACTTAATGACTTGGAAACATTTATAAAAAAAAACATGGGAGCTTAGAGCATGCATAGTGCCTTTATCATTTAGAGTAGTGCTTTCTATTGAGCACACTGTAACTATAAACCTTTGTCCTTTCCATCTGGATGTTTGAGTCCACGTATTCTTACACAGTGGGCACAAAATGACATTAGTAGGTAGTCGGCGCGCCCAAAAGCCCCAATGAACAACAGTGTATTTTCACACTAACCTACTTCAACTGATAAAGCGGTATCCCCCCTTCCGCTCGTGTTTGACCCGCATTCTGCAGCTTTCTGTGACTCCCCTACCTGTGCCCTCCCCCCACACCCCCACCCGGCGCTCCTTACCGGGCTCCTGGACGAGCGGCGAGGGCGCGCACTGGCACAGCACGCAGTCGCCGTCGTGGCGCACAAAACCGCAGTCCATCGGGCACTCGGTCACTCCGCATACCCTCGTGTCGTAGTCTGTGGGGAGGCGGTGCGGTCAGGGTTCGATGAGTGAATGTTTTGAAGTAAAACTGGCTCCGCAGAGGATGGGGAGAGGATACCGGCTCATGGACAAACTGCTGTTCAGAACTTTAGATTGTGTTGGGATTGTTTCCTGGTTATGAAGCACGTCCGGCTTTCAATATGTCTATGTACGGACAGAAGTTGTAATGGTATGCATATCTTGGATTTGTTCACGGTGTTTATGGACGAGATCGCGAAATTGATTTGCGAATAATTATTGAACATGGTGGCTAAAAAGTTTGGTAGGGGAGACCCGGGAGGTATGGGCCGGTTTTGTGAAAAACAAATTTTCTTCTAGTGGGTAGTGGCTAGACCCGGTTTTTCACTCTGTGCACTTGAAATTGCCTTTCGCCTGCTATGTGTGCCTGATATTAGGCATCTGGGATCAACTATTTTGTCTCGAGATAGCTTTCAATAAACCATGTGCTTTTTCGATCCATCAAAATACACCGGGAGGTATGGGCCATGGCCCGGGAGGTATGGGCCGGTGCCATGTTTCATATTCTTTTCTCGACAATAAGAACAATACTCGTAGCTGGTATCTACCTTGATCTCTCTTAGAGCCCAGGAATCGCATAAGCGCCCAACAGCTTTCTTCATGGAGGTCACTTGGGCACATGTATTTTGGTAAACTTAATCATGCACCATGAAATAAAATTAATGATATTTTTCTGTTCGAATGAAATTTGAAGTTAAATTTTGCCTGATATTAGGCATCAGGCAAAATTGATGCCTAATATTTAAACTTGCGCGACAATAAAATAAAACTTATTGAAGATAGCACTCAACGAAAGCAACTTTTTATTGAATTAGGATCAACGAGGGTGGATGGCCCGAACCTCCCGGTTAGGACGCCAGAATATCCGTAGCATCTCAGCTCATAATCTTGCAAGAAAGCTTCAAATTGTCTATCCAGTCTTAATTTGCATGCTTTAAACTTTATATTAGCATTGGTCTGACATCATAAAACGAGCCTGGTTCAAATTTATCACGAATTTTCTGTATGTACAGTATTTTACTCGAAGAGGGCAAAAACGTTTTATCACCGCTCTTTGCCAAAAAAGACTGAGGAAGATTTTGAAAATCACATGGGTTGTATGACGGAATGGCTGCTACCAGTTTACGCGGTCAAATGTGTAAAAATACGCAACACTTCTTCAAAACTGCGATGGCCCATACCTCCAGGGGGCCCATACCTCCCGGGTCTCCCCTACCTAATTGTCAACCGTCCTGATCGTGAACTTTTTCTTCAGATAAGTGCATGAGCAAATACTCCCAAACTACACAGATGATGCCTCGTTCAGTTAGGAACTGGTAGTCTACACATACCCAAAGTTTCGGAGATGTTGACGGTAGATAGGGCGAGGGATCCACTGGTGTCATTTTCGGATGAAAGGAGCGGTGGAAAGGTCACTTTGTACGCGTCGTCTTCTGCAAAAACATTCAGCACCAAATCAGTGCACAATGCACCACGTCAGGGCATAGATAAATGCAAAGGCTTATGGTAACTTGATGCACGCACCTAACAGATTTTGACATTTGCGTTTGAAACTTGTGAAGGAGCTGCAGTGTTTGAAACGGCGACGACCCTCCTCAAGACCGACATCACACTATGTCGTAAAAAACAATGAAGAATTGAAGCAGCTGCTGAATTAGTCATTCGCTAACCTTCGCAGAACCGGATGCACTCGTCAATGGTCTCAAAGTTGTTGGCATTGCCTCCGCAGCCTCCGTAGAGGAACACCTGGCAGACTCCAAACTCGGAGTTGAAGTAGAACCGCATCTCGGACGCTCGGCAGGGGCCGATGACCTTCGGTTGCAGGCACATCTCCACTGCAGAATGGATTGGATGGGGAGGGTGTGGAAAAGGATTGGATTAGGATAAGAACTGATTGGGTACCTACTGGCTACTGCTTTTCTCAATTATGGCTAAAATCGCCGATCTCTTTTGACTTGTTTGCCATTAAGATTTGTGCTGAGAAAGTATTTTGGTTTGAGAGTCAGGATCATCGAATAGGATGGTAGCATCGAGCCAACTTTGAAACCGACTGACTGATTTGGAAGATGGTTGTCACGACATTTCATATTAATATTCGGTGGATATACCTTTTGCCTACTTTTGGTAAACATGCTTGAAAACAATGTTGGCCTGAGCTTTGAAGTCAGGTTTACGACTTAACACCCAATCAGCACCGCCCAGCGCCCGCCCAGCTATAACCACTCTCTCTTCCGTTCGCTCTCACCGTCGTTATCCCCCGGCTGCTCCGTCTGGCTGACATCCTGCTCCTGCTGAGCGGCCTCGCTGGTGGCCTCCTGCAGGCCGGGCTCTCCCGTGCTGTTGTGCTCGCCGGAGCCGCAGTGCTCCTCACACTCCTCAACGCTGCTGTAGCGGTTGCCGTTGCCGCCGCAGCCGCCGTAGACGAACTTTTCGCAGGAGCCGGTGGAGGGGTTGAAGGCGTAGCGCTCCATGTACGCCATGCAGAGGCCGCCGTCGGGAGCTGAGCTGCAGTCTGAGGTGTTGGTAGTGTCGGCGCCGGCTGAGGACGGGGGGGGGGGGGCTGATCACGACGCGCAGTGCGGGGCAGTGCAGGGATGAGGATGATGGTCACAGTTCTGTATGTGTTGAGGCAACATTTTTTTTTTGCATTGTAGGCATACGTAAGGGGATCGACGACCAGATCGGTGAACAGTGAAGGAGAAAATCGATCAAAATTAAGAAAATGTATTTTTGCCATAGCCCTATACCTAACTTCTGAACTTTGCGAACATCGTATCCTTGAATGTCCGACTCCCTGTCTTTACCTTTTTCCGTGATGCACATTTTCTCGCAGTCGTGCAGCGTCTCGAAGTTGTTGCCGTTGCCGCCGCAGCCGCTGTAGTTGAACTCCATGCAGGTTGACCTCTCCGTGTTATAGAAGTAGCGAGGGATCATGCCCCGGCAGTCGCCAGCTTTGACCGGCAGCGAACAGATGGCAGCACTGTCCTCGTGACCTGCACACGGCGGGTGGTGTGACACCATCATTGGACGGAAAGCACAGCCATGGACTTCACCACTTATGACCAGTATGAGAGGAATAGTGAAAAACAGAGGCATTGCCATAGTAATACTGAATTGACCCTGACGGAAAATGAATCTAAATAAAAAAAAAAATGAAGAAGAATGAATGCTCCTAAGGCTTTTTCTGCGTGAATTGCTTTACGAATTTAGAATAAAAGTCCCATTTTAAATTTAGCAAATTAAAAGAAAATATCGATTTCAGACAACGCTCAGTTGACAAACGATTTAATGTCATTGAACTTAAATTGTTTTGCCAAAAATCGAGACGAAACGTTTCACAGCACCTCTCAAAAGCGAAATAATACGATACCTACTAGAAAAAATAAATCTCTCTCTCTCTCTCTCGCTCTCTCTTTGTCTACCCCCCCCCCCCCCCCCTCTCTCTCTCTCTCTCTCTCTCTCTCTCTCTCTCCCTCGCATATGCTTGCTCATATGTACCACAATCACTCACGTTCATCCTTATCTGGGCTGCTCTTTTCAACTCCGCAGTGAGCGTTGCACTCTTCCATCGTCTCAAAGTTGTTGGCATTGCCCTGACATCCGCCGTAGAGGAAGAACTCGCACGCCCCACTCTCTGTGTTGAAGAAGTACCGCGGCTTGCCCCCTCGGCACGGTCCGATGGTCTTTGGCAGAGAACAGGCAACTCCTGTGGCAAAATCGCGGTGATCGTTTCTCCAGCTCAGTCATGCTCGGCGGTTCATAAATGAAGTGTTTTCAAACTCAATTTCATCTAAGCGTCTCCGCGTGTTCCCTACTCGTATCTAAAATCCAGGTCCAGTTGGGTCTACTATGTAGGGGAAGTTGGGGGAACGCCGAATACTTTTTTCTGACGCCCGTAGCACGCAAGGTAGACAACATAAGCTATTCTTGTTGGCGTCATTCGAGAGGCCAGTCTTTTGCCTTTCAAACATACCAGGCGCATTTGATGAATTCGCATACCGTTAAGCGCATAAACTAAAAATATCAAAGAAGTGACTTTTTCGGCGTTGCCCCGGACTGCGGGGAAAGCCGAAAATGGGAGAAATGATCTACGGGGAATGCCGACATTGATGTTTTGCCACTTTATCTCAAACTTTATCCAGAATTTATCAAAGCTGACACGCGTTTTAAGAGCTTGAGGACGCTTGGTGCACACTGGAAGTTATAATTGTGTGATATAATAAGAAAATGCCAGGTAAATAATTCCTTATAGGTAACAGGCCGTTGTGTCGGTTGAAAGTGTAATTTGTGTGACTTAAAAATTCGCGTTGCTATTCTACAGCAGTAAAGTCCACGTAGCGTGCTTTAACGTGCGTAATTGCACGTTTTCGGCATTACCCCAGCCAGCCATACTTTCATTTGCAGGCCCATAACTTTTCAACGTGCCGTATAAATTTCAAATAGGCAGCACACTTATGCAAAGACATGCTGAAGATTACTTGACCGAATTAGCCAGACAAACGGTAGCATAATGAGTAAGAAATGCAGCTTCAAAGGCGCATGTAGTACAAGGAACGCGTACCTTGAAAACGCTCTTGGCGCCCTCACAGCCGAAGTATTCCGAATGACGACTCGTAACAAACATGCGATAATTGTAGTCACTTAAGCTTCAGAGCATCACTGACAGGTGGCATCCATGATCCATGTCTTACGGTTTTCGAAATATCTCGAATTTCGGCTTTGCCCCAACTCCGGCATTGCCCCAACTTCCCCTTTTGGCTTTCCCACACTGTCTTTGGGTGAGGGAAAAAGCCCAACAACCCCCCCCCCCCTTAGTGGTATATGGGGCATGACATTATTTTCGCTTTGTGTCTCCTGTTTTACAGCTTCAATGTAAACTCGGGATAACGAGCATTCGCCGCCCTATCCCATGATCAGTATCACTCACGCTGTGCGAGCTGGCGTTCACTGGAGCTCTCTGCCGGGCCTCCGCAGCGGTCTGTGCACTCCTCGATCGTCTCAAAGTTGTTAGCGTTCCCCTCACATCCACCATAGAGGAACGACTGGCAGGCGCCACTCTCTGTGCTGTAGAAGAACCGCGGCATAGCTCCGCGACACGGGCCGATCGTCTTCGGAAGAGAGCACTCAACTCCTGGGAATGGATAAGTCAGGATTAGAAACCAAAGATGAAGAAGCTGAAAACCGGAATGCCACCAACAGGAGGATTGCAAACCTGAAATAAATTAAACTAATGGTATCATTCATTTTAGCTACTTTGTTTATTGAAATATACATTTAACTTCCAATCATATATCCGTAGTGCCATGTTTGATGCCAATTAGGTATATATTCATTTCATGCTAAACTGAACGCAAAATCCTATGTCTACGAGTCATTCCTTTGCAAATTAATCACAAACACATCAGATGACGCACTCTGCTCCGCCCGCCTCTCGCCGGCTCCAGCGGCCGGGCCTCCGCAGCGATCGGTGCACTCGTCCAGCGTCTCGAAGTTGTTGCCGTTGCCATGGCAACCTCCATAGAGGAACGTCTCGCACGCGCCCGTCTGGGTGCTGAAGAAGTAGCGCGGCATGGCGCCCCGGCACGGCCCGATGTCCTTGGGCAGCGAACAGACATCCTCTGCGGGATAGGTGGGGTGTAGCGATGACGGTTATTAGTCTGGACTCTGGAGGTACTACTGGCGTTAAAGTGCTTTGTTGTTTGTTATGCATCACTTGCATGTTGCATATATGATATGCTCGTTCAATATACGATCAACGATAGGATGCATTCTTCAATATCCTTTGAATGAAGCGCCGTTTTACACACATTTACTCTTATTTTATATAATTATTTTAAATTATAACCGTGATAAGGGCACATACATCTCAGTGATTCTTGTGACTGTTCTCCAGACCCCGGAATTCCCGCACCCACCGTCGCCTCCGATCCGGATGACGCCAGCCCCGTGCTCCCCCTTGCCGAACATGCGGTCCATCCAGTCGGCCCTGCCGGTGCCCTCGCCCGCCTTGGGCACAGCCATCCAGGCCAGCAGCGCGATGGCCAGCAGGAGGGGTAGCAGCAGTGCCACCATCAGCAGGGTCCGCTGCATTCGGGACCTCCCCGCCGGCCCCGCCGGCTGCTTCGTCACCGTGGCCACGTATGGCGCCGTCATCTCAGCGGCTGGGGGTGCATAGGGGGGAGGGCGGGGGGGGGGGGGGGAGTAAGTGAGTGTGTGTGTGTGGGGGGGAAGTGAGTTGAGTTGAGTTGTTGAGTGAGTGAGCGAGCGCCGATACAGGAGTGGGAGGAAACGAAACGAAACGAAACGGTTATATGCCGACCGGCGAGCACGAGCAACAGAAGCTTCAAGCTGGCATATGTTGGTCAGTGGTCACTGCTATTTCCGATTGCTATATGCATACGTATTTAGGCATACTTCTTCATTTTTGGTTGGTGGTAAAATGAAATGATAACATTTTTTTGTGAAACGTGCAAGACATCCGAGGAACATTTATGGTAAAATGAGGCGAGGCAAATTGTTGTGACTAAATGCGTTTGATGTTCTCTTTTGTACACCAACTTTTGTTCGTTACAAACAGCAAACATGACGTCACCCGGAACAGATGTTGACTCTTCAGTGGAATGACTGGGAATATTCAGAGACAGAGACGGATTTGACGTTGAGCGGGACGGGGGAGGGTGCCACAGGTGTTGGGGTGTCGGTCGGACGCGGCTTCTGCCATTGACGCTGCGGGTTTTCCGCTATTGTACTGACGTGGCAGAGCTCGGCGGCAGAACAATGCGTCATAGGAAGGTACTGCACAACGTTATAGGTAGATTGTAGATATACATACGAGGCATAGGGACATACAGATTTTCAGAGCTGGTGTAGAGTAACATTAAACGCAATCAGCAGTTACAATCAGATACCTACACGGGAAGCGTTAGCTGTAAGTAATGAAACATTTAAAAGTTTGCGTGAAACTCTCCATGCACCAATCGCAATCACACTTGTAGTTATAGGCGTGATTTAGGCGCGGATGTTAAAACCCGCGCCCTGATGGGGGGGTCATTTTGCCCCCCTGTGGTTTTTCTTAAATAGCGAGAAAACGGCGGCGCGCAGCGCCGCCAAATTTTGGGTACCTTACCGGGCATCAATTTGACACCTTCACACAAAATTTCAAGTCACAGGTCACCTCAGGTCAGGAGTTATTGAGGTCAAACTGAGGTCATGTTCGAGCAAAAATGAGCAAAAAACATGACATCTTGAAACGCTCACCATTCTACAATTAACAAGCAATTTTAAAGTTTTTATGTGGTTGTGTAGAGAAAAGACGGCGCTACAAAACTGCTATCTCGGATTTTCGAAATTTTGGGATTTTGACCCCGAAAAATAAAAAAAATGATTTTTTTAGAAAAACTCAAAAAAATTCCAAAAAATTTTCGATTTTCGAAAAAAAACGGAATGTATGTGATAATCCCTGCGCTCTTCGATATACATACCAAATTTTAGATCGATACCTCTTTTTTTGGCCAAGTTATAGCGAAAAACTGTTACAAATTGATGACGTCAAATTTTTGAACTCAATTTTTAGCAATTCTAGACCTCGTAGCGCAAAACGGAGACCACCATTGAACTCCCCGTGACGAGCTGCATCGAATCGATACCCATTTTATGCAAAAATATCAACTTTGAAATTTGACCTAATTTGACCTGACCTTGACCTGACCTTGACCAAAACGTGACCTAAGCTGGCCCTAAAGTCTGTCTGACCTACATAATCGCATTTGTCATGCAAAATGGACCATAAAACATGTATCACACGACACTTTCATATTGTGACCCCCCCCCCCCCCCCAGTGACCTGACCTCTGTGACCTGACCTGGTATCAGTGACCTCAAATAGCAAAATATGTGTTTGAAGAACATTTCTCCATCGATGATTTTCAATGAAATGCATTTTACTCGATTTTACAAGTTACAACGCATTTCTTGAAATCCCTGTAAACGGTGAAAATTCGACCTTTGACCTGACCTGTGACGTCATCGGTTTGACCGAGGTCAATGAAATTGGGTCACAAGGAAGTTCCCCGTTGGGGCTATCCAACACCGTTTACCGCTTGTCGCTATGTTGCGTGGTTCTCGAGATCTGAGGGGGGGCCAAAATGCCCCCCCCCCCCCATCAGACCGCGTTGCTCGGCAGACCCCATCTGGGCGCGGGTTTTAATAGAGGGGATAGGCACCTGGCGACTGACGTCTACATTTGATATTTGTCTAAACGTAGTTGACACGCTGATGTCAAACATCACGGATCGTAAC